GAATCAGAATCATCAATGAGATATAAATTTTATTTTCCCACTAATCTCTTCTTGGCCAGGCGATGTACTTATAGTGCACAAACTGGGCCTCATCAACAATTTCAAGACTTTTCAAAGAACCATGTTGCCTCTTTTGTATCAATCGATGGAACCTCCTTACCTGTGCACTGGTTATCATCAGGCAGGGTAACCATAATATTTGTTCACTTTCACAGTCACAAACCGCTTCAAAGAATTGCCAGAAAATAGCACAAGCAACTTTCAACCAATCTAAGTCTTTTTTGATCATCATAAATTTGACCGTTTTGATAATATATCGAAATTACATGACAAATAAATTGGAAAAAAGAAGCAAGAGATAAAAGGGTTTTAAATAATCCCTAAATTGCTATATGGTTTCAGGAGTGTTTATGTACTCACGCATTACAATCGAATTATTTGGACAGCCTTGAACAAAGGCTGCTTTATCATAGGTGGTTATTGTCTACTATTCCATGGTACAAACTAGTTGTTAGTTTCACTGAGTGGTCATTGTGTGGAGTAAAATTAATCTGAGACAGCCAGTTGTTTCCTCACAGTGCGTAAGGCTGTTAAAACCAAATTTTGCAGGTCGACATTTCATGCATAGAAATTAATGTTCCAAAATGCGTTACCACAATACTTCGAAATCACAGTAGAGCTGCAAGTAAATTAATCCTCAGAATTAAGCTGTAAGTAAAACATGATTTTTCGAAAACAACTTCAAACCCAAATCCTGTAAAAGACTTCCACCTTGATTATAAAAAACAAAAAAAACTTAGGCAAACTTCGTTCCTTCTAAAAGGGGGAGGATATGCGAAATGATACATCTTTTTTAAACATTTAAAGCCTTCGTAAACCTTATCTGGATAACGGAAGAATTTAGAGCAATATTGATGTGAACTTTCAACGTTCATGCCTCTCAATACTTTTTTTTCAAGATTCAACAAACAACATCAAAATACGCATACAGGACTTGATGATGAAACTGAAGCAATTTCCTCTCTATCAAATGATTCATATTGCAATCGCATGTGATCGATCGGATTTGTTTATTACCGACAATATTGAGTATCTCAACAGTACAAGTGAACCATTTGAAAGGTATTATTTTTAGATATGCAAGTTATAAGATTAGCGAAACAAAAAATTACCAAAGCCCCAAAGCTTTCTTCATGCAAAATATGACAAGTAGAGAATGAATATTTGAGGCAAAATGTGAGGGCGTAAATTTCTTGCTTTGCCTAAATGCAGAAAACTCACTAAGCTACGCATGCTCTTCCTGCGGTCTCAGCAAAGGTGTTCGGTGTTGAGTTTGCATTGCCAAAAAACTTACATAGATACTCAGGGCTGTCTTCACAGGCCTCAGCATTGTTTCCATCCGCTTTTCTCTCTCGCTATCGTCATCTATGATGTTGGTATTAAACTGCGGCGGAGATGTAGGTCCAGATTTAGCAGCTGAAAATTCAGGGTCATCCGTGCAACGAATACGTCACCCATCTGGTCACATGCTTCCCTCAAGGATTTTGCTTCGCGAGGGCTCTATTCAGAGTTCTTGTGTCTGTCGTCTGTCCTTCTCATTATATGACGTCCATTAATGTCTTCAAAGATGTAATTCTGGACCGCGAAAGCGAGACATTGATCTCATATCTGACTTGCGAAGTCCGAGGAGATGTTGAATGCGTCGGTTGTACTTTAGAAGACGTTGTTGCAGCGCTCTGTGAGTTGTTCGGAGAGCCTCGGACATTGCCACAGTGTCAGGCCACGTCCCTACTCGTAACAGAGCGCAGGGAGAACGGTTGATTCGAACAGATGGGCTCGGAGTTCTGAGTGCGTCATCTTTCTGATTTCCTTTAAGAGCCCAACGGCCCAAGCAACTCTTCGCGTGCTATACAGTTCTTCTTGCGATCGTTCTCCATGTTCATCGAATGCCCGAAATATACGTAAGAAGACATCTGCGCGAATGGAGAGCCGTCTAATTTCTCTGGTCCCCGCAAAAAGCGATTTTCATGAACCCAGTCTGCGCTTGATCCGCAATCTACTTCATTGAATTCTTACTTCAGTGTCGTTCGCAAAAGAAGGTTCGAGAGGTATATTCCAATAATTCGTATACCTCTATTGTTCCAATCCAATGATTACATTATTCATTGCAAGGTGGCGGTAAACAGCTTTGGCACATGGTGTCACCTCGTCGAATCCCCTTTGATGTTGGTATGCTGAGGGGGCAGGCGAAAAAGCTGTACCGTTGTTGAGCAGTTCTTTTAGCAGTCAGCCAATGTCCTCACATAGTTAGGTCCACCCTTTGGTCGACGAGTGCTGACAGTATGGCATTGGTCTCGATGCTGTCAAACGCTTCCCCATGTCGACGAAGATTAGGACGAGAGGTAGGCGGTACTCTCGACAAACCTCTATAATCCTCGAAACCGTCTAATGTGATCCACGCAGCTAAATCCGTTGCAAAATCCAACGTGTCGTACAGGTTGGGCTTCATCCTGTGTTCTTGATATGCGAAAGAGAATATTCTTCGTGAAGAGTTTGTAAAGCACCCTCAGCAGGCATATCAAACGGTATAAAGTCCTTCCCTATCGCCTCCTAAAGGAGTGTCCAGGAGGTTCTTCTGGTCAGGGATCTTTCTGGAGGCAAGATGTTAAATCCGCGGCAACTATCTTGAGGTGATGTCCTTTAGCTCGTAAAAGATCGGCCGAAATGTGGTCCGGTCCGGAACCGTGGCTGTTTTTTGGTCTGGATCTGGCGCATACTTCAACTGGTAAGAACCGTGGTGTTCTCCATTGGGTACAACGGGTTGACACGGGTTTTGATGAGCGGAAGAATGTGGAATCTCTTCGTGACGACTCCTTCTTTTGTCGGGACCCGTCTCCGTTTAATGATGTTGTCAGCGAAGTAGTCGAGGGCCTTGGCGGTATTGCTTAAGACTTCTTCTTCCTTGTGCTGCTTCCAAAAGCGACGACAGTATTTTCGAAGATCTTGCAGAGCCGTTCTTCAAATGGCTACCGGTCACTCGAGATGTAATGCGGTCGGACCAGCCTCAACGCCTTTCTCTTCTTAAGCAGATCCTTGGTGGCTTTAGAAATTCGCTCCAAGTTCCTTGTTCGAGGCACTGAGACACTTTACCACAGGCTTTCAGTCCTCTGGGAAGTAGGTCGTAGTCCTTCGTTGGGTCTTCCTCTATGGGCCAGTCACAGGTCAGGGGCTCCTCCAATGTGATGCCGTCATATACGACTTCTCTCCTTCCACCAACACTGTAAAATCTCCTTTTCCAGCCTTCACATGCGCACTTTTGCTTAAAGGAGACAATGATCTAAACCGCAGCTGAAGGATGTTACCACTGAGATGTTCAGTAAGCACTACCTTCGTTGTGAGAATGTGGTCGATCTCCGCAAGAGTCGAACCGTTGAGCGAATTCATGTTCCTTGCCGGTGTTCTTTCTTCATAAAGATGGAGCTGCCATTGAAAAGTCGTGCGGTGGATAAGAGTCCAACAAGACGATTACCTCATTCCCGCGTCGTAATCCAAATCTTCCGATCCTATGCTCCCCCTTCTGGCATCCCAATTTTCGCATTGAAGTCACCTACGACAAATTTATAGAAGGATTTTCTTTGCGGAAGAATTCGAAATCCTCATAGCATGTTGTTCCGGAGCATTAGCTGCTGAAGTTGGAGAATAGCAGTTGATGTGCTGGTTTTCTGGCAGAGAACTACCCAGAGGATAGGCAGGCGAGATGATAGGATCTCA